TGATAATGCTTCAAGGATCATAGGTACTCAAATACGAGTACACAAGTTATGTATATATGATACCATATTCATGCTTTTTGTGCATACACCTGTAACTGGCAATATTGCCGTGTCTAACATTAATTAGCTTTACGCCACTGTATTAAAGTACCAAATTTGTATGCATGTTTATGCATTAGTATATTAGCACAATGAAGAGGTTTGGTTATCTAGAAAAAGGTGGACGTGGCGCTATACCGATTAACCGTATTGGTAGAGGGGTGGTGCTCACGTCCTATGTCGCATGTACAGCAATTTCTTGGAGAGGTGTAAATAAATAACGGACAGCTGATGGATGTAAGCAAGCCTACACTATCACTTGGACGTCCGCAGAAAGGATATTCATTCATTATCGTTGAATTTTTACGTAGCTTTGCTGAATTATCAGGTTTAAGGAAGATCTCTCGTATTGTAACACATACAAGCAAATAGTTATTAATAAGCTGTTTAATACTATCAAAGCCTTGGAAAAAGCCATGACTCTTCAACGATACGAGAGTGGCCATTAGGAATTTATCATTACAATGATGTTTGTTTTTTGTGGTAAGACATTTTGTGGTAAGACATGTTTTGGGAGGTCTCTGCCTCCCTCCATTTCCATTTCGGATTCTATAAAGTTAGAGAAAATAAACTTCGATATATTTTCGATTCTTGGGACTTTTCTTTTTTTAAGTTTCCTTTTTTTTTACCTTTTTTTCGGTCTTTCTGTTGCCCGTTTGAAAGAAATATTTAAAAACGTTTCGCGACCAGTTAATTTTGGTTCATTTCTTTTGTTCTGTATGCTGTGAGATGTTTGTATACTTGTTGGCTGTACGCCTTGGTTAACCGGCGCTAAACAGTTTCTTAGCTTCAAGTTAGGAGATTCTTTTATAACTTTTATATGCTGCATTTATTTGTCTTATTTACATTAACAGCAGGTCTCCGAGAATGCCTAATAGTGAGCATGACAATTTACACATTTTTGATCACTAAGACAATCCTGAATTTCATGACTGAGCACGAGCTTAAACGTGGTTTTCGCGGCATACGGCTAACTCTAAAAATGATACAGTGGGTTCAGCATATAGCTTCTTAGGGATCACTTCAGGTACCCTGTTTCAATGGACTTATTTGTTTTGTAGGTGAGAAAGTGACGATAAAGTGCTTTGTGTTAACAAGTTGCTCATCGTTAGGGATTTTAATTTGGCAAGCCCCACACACAATGAAGCTCCACAGTCAGGTTTTACGAAAGCTGGAAGTCCTGAAAGCTTATCCTCAAGCTCCTCACATTAAGAATTAGCGACCAGCCGACTAACACTAGCGGGGACAGCTAATTTCCTCCCGTTTGGGCTAAAGCAACGGGTTGAGGACAGTATATCGTCCCTCAATTACCAGGATCCTTCTTTGTAGCCTTACGACATCTCCTGACAAGAGCTGCAACCTTTTTCTCGATCAATTTTCTCCAACAGCAAACAGCAGAGTTGGCATTTAATATTAGATGTCCAAGCACTTTACTTTTTTATATTCCATTATGCACACCTACTTTTGAAATTGATGGAGAACATATTCAGTACTAACGCTTTGAAGCTTGACATTACAGAATATACTTCATATTTCTCATAATATTACTTCCAAAATTAATTCAGTTCTGAATTTTGGGAGGTTTAAACAAATTCAAGTGTCTTTATTATTACTTCGATTCTAGGTATCAACAGAAATTCTGGAAATTTGTGAAATGATGGATATGAACGACTTATTATGACTGATTTAAAAACTTATCACAAACAACTAAAAGAAGGTCCATAATGCAGTTGGACTTCATATCTTCTCTCTTCATCCTAAAATTTCGAAACCGGAATAGTTATACTATCGTCAACTGCATCTTCAGTTTACAAAATTTGCAAGCTGTGGCTGTATTGTCTTTTTTAAACGCATATGGTAAATGTTATGCTATCCTCGCCACATTTCATTTTGAACCATTAAAAGGCCATTATTACTCAGTGCTTTTATAATTTTTTTCTATTTTTAGTGATAACATTTCAATGATCCAAGTCAGCTGATTGTAACTTACATCTCAATAACAGGTAGAACTTTCACACACATCCAAAATGTTAAACTTTGTATTTGAGATAGAGCGTTTACAATTAAGTAAACTGTAACCTGGATAACTATGATTAGAACAATCAATGCATGAAAAGAGTAATAAGACGATAATAAACTACAGTAACAGCAGTGATATAGTGTATCGCACAAAATATATATTACGTATCAGCATATTTAAATACTTAAAAAGATTAACATAGGAACATAAAGTAGAAACGAAGTTTTCATATTTTAAGGTTAAAATTGATTGGTTATGTAAACTGCTAGTAAGTTTCACATTTCTTTTACACTTTTCTTCAATATTATGTTAGATTTTTCTAAGCATTTTTGGTGCAAATTAAATTTCAAGAAAAGCAGTCTTCAACCCAACTATCTGCAACATTTAATTTCAGAATTTTGCAAGGCTGACTCGTTGGTTGGCCTAATAACAGTTTACCTCGCTAAGGAAACTGAAGCCTTCGAAGAAGAAACTGGCTTCTACCCAAAGCACTTGAATATCAAGAGTAGGGGTTCCTTTATGTACGATATTTTAAGGATAATTGACTTGTTTTCGGGTTAAACATACGGAAAGTCACGAAAGCTCATATTGCCAGCCCGTTTCTAGGATTCAAACTTGAGTCAAACTACAAAAGTTCGACAAATTTTAGCACTTTGTTTATCGGAAGGCGGAGAAGAAAAACGGCCCTTGCCAGTATTCACGTTATACTGAAACGAGTTATTCACATTATACTGAATAGTAACAAACTGAAAGTCGTATGCAAAAGCATTTCTTTGCCAGGAAATGAACTCTGTACAGAGTGCTGGTGCTCAGTAGACTTACTTTTGGACAACAGAAAATGTATTTGCAAACAAATTTACTCCTATTTCGTAGAAAATTGCATTTAAAGGGAGCTTTATTTTTATGAACTCATAATTATTCCAAAGGGGCTTTTTCCCTGAAGGACTATTATTCTCGTTTTGCTATTTTGTGTTGAATTACTATAAAGGTCCGTTTCACTTTTCAAACTGTTGCCACCAAATGTTAGAGTCCTGCATTATATTTGAAGAAATTAAATGATGACAAATCTACATAAATGTATGTATATTTCTCGCACTGCCAAAACAACGGTACATAAAGGCATCGAATTTTGAATGACGTAATCCTCCTACGAATATGGGCATATGGAAGAGCAAATTGGAAATTTGTTTTATTATCTATTTCATATTTTATAAAACTTTAAAAAATTTTTGATAACAACTCAATGATTTAAAAGCGATCAATGCAACACGCTACCAAAAAAAAAGAAACCTTTTTATCTCCCACGTGTAACTGTACCGAATTCTAAAGATAATTTTAAATTTTGCACATGCTATTAACTGAATTTTATGGTTTAAGTGCAAAGAACATGATGTTTAATAAATAAAAGTAACACACAAAACGTTAAAAAACGCCCCTTTGGACGTAATTTAAAATCTTAAACATTTCAGATTTTTTCATTTTGTTTTGAGAACTAACGTTACAAGAAATAATCATAGCGCGTCTTAATACTGCGCAAAACAAAAAGCAGCTTTGCTTGACATGATTTCGAATTTACCAAACGATTTGGAGAGTGATTCAACATAGGTAATTCTTATGCAAAAGTAAAATGTTTTCCACCTGAATTTCTAGAGCATCTTATTCCTGAAGAGGAAATCTGCGATATTCTCCGAAATAGATACTTTACTTAATTTTAAATTCTCTTTTGGCCTATTTCTGTTTCATTTAAATCTAGGGCGATGTTAAATGTTAGTTTTTTTGAAAACTGGTAGCTTAAGATTAAGGAAGATTAATTACAGTCAAGTTTACGTTAAGGCAAGATTACGCAATATTGACAGGAGATAGGTTTCCTGCGTAATTGTTTTAATGGAAACTAGCTTGTATTATGGTTATACATAAGAAAACCATGAAAAAATCCAAACAGACAACCTGTTCGCTGGGATATGTGTCGAACTAGCAGTGTTCAGAGATATCAAGGCCTAGCGACTGATGGTCCTTTATATCAGGTGTATTTTAGCAATAAAATGTATCGGATATTGATCCAACTAATCAAATAAGATCTGGCATAATAAGACTAATGCCAAGCGCATTTTACAGAAATTAGCAAAGAAATGTTAACTTAAAGAAACTTTTTTGCTGCTTCGTGTATAACTCATTAGAAGTTGCTAATTTAAATTGCGAGTTAAACTGACGAATTTCATTTCATGTTCTATAATTGAACCCTTTTTTTCACCTTTCTCAAACCAGAACATTTGCGACATTTTGCCAGGCACATTAACCCGTGTCTGCTGCCCCATCCAGTATCATAACTTTTGGTATTTACGTGTACTAAAATGAGTGAAATTATTCAGCGAATTGAAATGTTATCCAAAGTTTCAATAACAATTTCCCATTTCAAAATTTTCATTAAAATACTAGCTCCAGTAATTAAAAGTTTTAAGTTGCAATTGAAAGCGAATAAACTGAACATTATTCTCGCAGTGTTTATCCGATCATAGCAAAACGAGAGAGGTCTCATAATTGGAAGGAATGTCTTTGTAGAGATATTTTAAAGGAATAGATTACTTTTCAGCAAAATACACAAATTGCATTTTTTCGCAATGTTTAAAAATATTCCTTAATATTACACAGAAATAAGGACTTGTGGCATAGTATTGGAGTTGCCTCAAGTGAAAGGAATGCCAGACGAATAATTCAGTTCGAAAGCTAAAATGACTACATCTCCCCCCTCTCCACTGGCTAAACGCTAAATAAATTAGAGTTGTGATAACAAAACTCTAGACAATGCGCTGTAGTAGCGAATAAAAAAAATTATAGATTCTTTGCATAAGATGAAAACATCCATTATACACATTACATACATAACTTTATTTCAAAATTTATTTTACTACGACATATTACAAAACCTAAGGAAAGTTCAACAATTTTTGTATTTGCAAGCATTACAATCCGAAATTTCAGAAACTTTGCGATAAGTGATCGATTATCCATGGACTGCAAATTAAAATTTTTCTCGTCTCTATAAAGATTTGTTAAATGCAATTTAGTCTACAAACAATTGCATTCAGATGCATTATAAGGCCTTAACTTCCCGTTTTACAAATTTACAAATATTTTTTTTTCTTCATATGTCTATGCTAAAAATGGCATTTCTGCAACACTGCCGAACAAATTTGAAATGGAATTCTATTCTTTAATACTCATTTACATCATTAAGTGCAAGGTTCGTTCAACACTGAAACATCTGTCATGAAATTAACCAAAACTGGATTTTTCGAGGAAACATTACAAATAAAATGTTCTTGGAATATAGCTTAAGAATAAAAAGATCTTATATCCTGAACTATATTTAGCTGTTTTTCAGTTACTCCATCAGGAAGGCTTTCAACCTTTCTTCATCCATTTCAAAGTCTTTGTCCACTGCCTCGTCGACGTGCTTTTCTTTATCTTCACCTTGCTTGATCTTATCCTGCTGTTCATCGTAAACCACTTTCTTTCCTTTCAATCTGCAAAGAGGAAAATCTCATAAAATGGTATTTTGAATCCTTTCAACTCAACAAGCGATTTTATATTCAGATACAGAAAAACAGAACGTTCTGACAGCTTCTAAACAAAAATGTATTTTTGTATAAGAACAAAACTGAAGTATTATGATCATGGAAAAAGTGCTTTGAGTGCACCAACTCGCGAGAGGAATAGAAACGCAGCAGATTTTATGGTTAGTGTATTCTAGTCTTTGGAATTCCTTATGAACCTAAGTGACAGACTTGTGGTACTGAAATCCGGAAATCCGCTGAGTTGGCTTCCGTCCCAGAGTATTGCATAATCCATATAGAATTGTGGTACTGGATCATGCTATTTCAGAAAACATTCTTCCTAAAGACTTCTAGCTCATATTTAATTTAAATAACACGTGGTTAGCTGTTCATTCATGGGAAAAATGTTCAGGAATTTTGGTTCGAGGAAGGATGACTTTATTAAGACAGCAAAATTAAATACTGGTACTTACTTGACATATTATAAAACACAAATAAAACCATTTGATAGTCGTGTATTTCATTGCTTGAAGCATATTACTTCTATTTGGCAAGTCAAAAGTTCAGCCGACTAATGAAATAACGCTTCAGGCAATGAATAATTTACAAAATATGCGAAGGCTGCAAGAGATGTCTTGGAAGGTTTTCATGAAGAACGAGAAGTTTGTTCGCATATGAAGTTATATACGAGGAAAAGCACGAAAATCTTATGCAGTTAGCGTTTCTTCAATTATTTGGAACAAAATTAAAAAGTAATATTTAATAAAAATGGGATATATACATTATTAGAAAACTGAATAAATTATAATACAAAATTAACGCAAATTTTTACGTAACATATTCAAAATGACCTTACGTAGATTAATCTCCCTCCTTGTGCTTTTCAAGACTATAGAAAGATTTTTGACAGGTCATAATTTAGACTGAAATATCCTCTTAAAATTAGTATTTTAAAAATATATTTAGTTCTAAGAAAATGGAAACTATCACAAGAGGAATATTTAGAGAACATCGAGGATGCTCAGGGATAATAAGACAACTAGCTGAATATTCTTTGATGGTGTTGGTTAGGTAACTTTCAATGCCATCTTGAAGCAAATAAAATCGTAATTCATATAACTATTCTAATCCTTCTGAAGCACTAGGCAACTTTATATTACTTCTCCGCAAAAGGTTTCTTCACAGCTTGGGTACTTTTCGGTTTTACCGGCCTGCAAAGCGTTAAGTTAAAGCAGTCAGAAAAACAAAAAGCGCTTCTGAATAATTAAAATTTCAAGAACTGCTTTATTACATTCCAAAATTTCAAATTTTTAATTTAGATTATTTTTAGATGGCCGTAAAAATAGACAGCAGCGGTTAATGGGAAATATATTATCCCGCTTTATATAACCACTGCATTAGCAACAGGTACAACTTTAATATGACTGCTAGCCATACAAATCCCATAGTACCATTAGAAGCCATTTTCTACCAAGCTTTTTACCTTGGTTCTCTGAATGGGCATCCGCGGTGGTATACAATTTTATTCAAAGACCTGTTTCTTAAATTGGTGTGGAAAGTAAAATACCCCTTTCTTGGAAGCATGCAAAAGCTAAAAAAATTCCTTCGAACGAAAATAAATTTCACTGTTTTTATAACTTGCCTTTGGGTTCCACTTTTAACTCGGGAGGATGCAAATATGATTTATGTGAAAACGCGTAAAATGAAGAAATCCATGTGCAAATTATTAATAACTGAAAATAAACGTTTGTTTCTTGGTTATATTTAAGGATTGCTATAGCTTTCGGCAATAAACGCCGCAATATTATTCGATTAATTGCTGATGGCCTGTAAAAAGAGCCACAATTTGTTTCACACCATCTCTATGAAAAATACATTTTGAGTCAAAACGTGGGTAGAATTCAGTTAGCCTCTGAGAAATTCGTTCATGTTTTCTCAACAGAAAACAAAGTACTCATAATTCGGCGCTTAGTTTTTGAACAGTGTTGTAGAACCGAAACTGTCCCGTCTCTGAAGAGCGTAAGGAAGCTGTGCGATTATTTGCAGTTTCTAATAAATCCTGCGAAATGCTAAGACGCACCGATTTTCGCTAGTTAATCAAAACATAATAAATGAGATTAGAACCCAGATCTCAACATCTCGTTGAGAATAAATTAAATACTTGTAATTTCAGGTTAAGTTTCCGACTATCACTGATAGCTTATTGTGATCTTTAGTATTATTACCATTTCCTAAAATCAAATGCCTACCAATTCAGTCATCTTTTTTTGATATTCGCTCTTTCAAATATTGGTGCCCTTAGAAAATAGACTTCGACATTAATTGATCGCTACAAGCTGTATTCAACATTCCTACGGCTTCTAAAATTAATCTCAAACAAAAATTTGTTTCTTTTATATATTAACAAGTCAGCCTTGTATAGCAACTCCTTCGGTAGTTACATGCAATAATTTATACCTTCATTTTATCATGTCTGGAACTTTCCTAACACACTGCGTTTATGTGAAAATACTAGCTGTCCTTAAGTTTCAGTTCAAATCAAAGCTGACAAATTTAAGCTAAAATAGCAAAGTAATCTAAAAGTAACCAAAACAGCACGTGAGCTAATGATCCCGCAAATTTTGTGACTTAAGTCGTGGCTCAGAGGAGCTGAGAGATCACCGATTGAGTCTCCTTGCGTTTCATAAATTAGGAACTGTAAATCGATTCTTGGCATTTTTATTACGTATATTAATTTTGAAGAATATCTTAAAACCAGACTGCTAATTTTCTGTTATGCGAATGTCCCATTCTTTTAATTCTAGGTTAATAAAGATTTATTTATCGTTTTGGTGCTTTCTCGCATTTAGAATGGTGGTAGGTACTAATTCTTTCGATTAAGCGGTTTATTTTTATACATTGTGAAAACACTTTATTTTTACAATGGAAAATGTTTTACTTACATTCCTGCCTTAGCGTCTAAAATTTTAATATTTTTTCAGACAACATACATCATTCTAAAAATTTTTAAATTAATGAAGTAGCGTCCGAAATATATTTTATAAAACAGTGAACACCAAGATAATCTGTTTTCAGACGTAATACTTTGCATTTATACTTAATTCAGACACAAAATTTTGCATTTGTACTTAAGAGTGCTGCGCTTTATTAAATCACTTATGTTCTTTCTGTTCATATTTATAAAAATTACGAAAAGCTTTTGTCTTTAATTTTTTTCTAGCAAACGCTCAAACATGGAAATTCCAAATCAAGCATTCAAACGTGGTACTGAATTTCCTCACGTTACTCATTCTTTAGTTAACACAACAGTTTAAGACAAACATTTGGAATCCTACTCATAGACAACCAAAATATTAAAACAATCGGTTTAACACAGGAAAACACGAGTGACTAGTCTCGAAAACTGGGTGCACGGCGATACGATAGCGAGATTATCAGATGACAGTTAAGCTTAAATAAATTCGTTTCTTAATAATTAGCTTTTACAGATATATTTACATAAACCGATTTTACCGTATTTTAGAACATTTTAAAGTAGCTCAAGGAAATGGAGTAGCTAAAAATTCGCATATGCAAATTTTAGCACAGATTTTCACAGAAGAAGCAAATTTGCGAAACACTGCATGATCTAGCCATTCCTAGTTAAACCAACCTTTTTCGGTATTTAATGTTTATCATTATTGTGGGATTTCCCGATTCAACGAGAGGTCTATGAAACCTGATATTGAATTGCATTAAACTTGGGAACGTTCTAAGCTACGAATAGCATTGAAAAGATAGGAAATTTTGTTTTGAGGATTTATTTGAATTCTATCTTTGATGTTTCTTTTCCAACTCGGCAAGACATCAAATCGATTCCTTACTTCGCCCAAGATTCAATCAAATAGAGCTTATCTTCTATCGTATCTAATACATTTCAGTTCTATTGATTTTAGCTTTATTTTATGAAACTATAAATCTTGATATTTAGTGGCACTGCACCAGCGTGGTCAGAAGAGAGTTACACAGAAAAAATACAACTTGATAATGTTAATATTTATTTTTGCTTTTGGTTAGAACATCCGCAAATTAACTTGATTTACATTTAGGTTGTTTATATTTAGCTCAATGACCTAATATTTATTAAACGAAATAATATTAGTGAATCACATTTACTGGCTTTGGAGCGATGAAATTATCCATGAATAGAATGTAAAATATGAATGATTCACCGAATCAAATGCTGCAGTACTTCATACGATGTCATTATTATATTTTAACTTGGAATAAGCTCAAACTATTAATTTAGAATCTGCCTTTGGTCTCCTGACAGAACTATAACGATTGTCATAGTGAATGATAAATCTGAATGCTTACTTTCTTCACAATGCATTAATAAAAACTGAATTAAATATCAAGAACAAGCCTTTGATTAACTTGATCTTTTGAGTGTTAAGTTCAATAATTTAGGTTACAGCAAAGCATCCGAGGACACCTAAGAAATACTTTTGAGAACATTTTAAAGAAAGCTAGCTCACACTCCTGTTCCACAGGAAGAAAACCACGACATCAGAGTCATGTAACTACCCAATTAACCAATTAACAGAGATTTGAAACTGGGTCGAACTATACTTCGATGATTTTAAAATTCATATGCTGGTTAGATGAATTGTTTGGATAACGCAAAGTAAGCAAGGGCTATTTATGGAACACAAAAGCGAGGATAATTTCAATGTGAATAGTTACATATGGGGAAATTAAGAAAGCACCATTTCAGATCCCCGCTCACCTGTATTCTACATCATTCCAGCTACCAGCGTTCAGTAAGTTTACTGCTCGCTTGCTGTTGCAAACTCTCAGCTTAGTGAGATAATGTTTGAAAAGTTGCGATTTCTTTGAAATATTTCTATCCCTCCCATGAGCTGAAATGTTAGAAAATCAGATGAAATCAAAACCTTATAAACTCATTAAATCCTTTTCTGCCAGTAAGT